TGGTGATGGGCGCTTGCTTCCACGTCTGCCTTTGGCGCGAACTCATGCACCCTGCTAGCTCTGCCGACGTCGACCTCATTGATCAGATCATGTCGGGTATGCCGATCGTGGGTGATATTGCCTCCTCTCATCGGTGGCTGCCAGATCGGCGGCCCCACTCAGAATATCTTCTGTCAGTGATTCGTGATCTTAAATCACGGGCCTGGGACTTTCGTGAAAAGGTAGTAAGGTCTGTTCGTGCCGCTCCTCTAACCCAACACCGTCCGAAGGTTTGGGAGGCTAGGGAAGATATTCAAGAAGGCGCGGCGCTCGGCCGTTTCCAACGGTTCGAGGTCGAGCAGAAGAAGAAGGTCCGAGGGTCGACAGTGCCACACCCAATGGGGTTAACATGGCGACGGTGGTCACTGAGACGCTCGAGCTACTTTCTATACTGACTGATGCGGACGTGGCTGCTATCAAGTGGCTTCGATCGAGGCTGCCTGATTCGCGTCTTCGGGGGTGGGTCTTGGATGGGTGGCGGGCTTATCGGCAGCTCCCGATCGAGCCGTCGCGCAGGAAGTGGAGCATGTCGCCTTGAAGGATCCTTCGAGTGGCCAGGTCGCCTTCTTCGTGATGCTCGGGCACCGGTTCGGTCAGGTGTCGGCGGTCCACAACTACAACCACAGTTCGGCTGCGATCACCGACATCCTTCGCAGAGTGTTCAGCATCGCGGCCTTTAACTTCTACGAGCACAAGTACAGGTTCGGGCCGGAGGTCACGGCGACAGGGGCGCTCGCCCTGTCGGAGAAGGTCCACTGGTAGTCGGAGCTCGCTTTGATCAGCAGAAGCTCCAGCTGTGCTCGGATCCCGCGATCCTCGGGGTCACCTACGACCTACGATCTGGACCAGTATCTCCTGAAGATTAAGAAGTCCCGCCAGCAAGAGCTCTTCGAGGAGATAGGGGCAAGCTCATGCTTGGAGCCTCACAGCTCTGGGGCAAGGTCGGTCGGGCCCCCTTTTCGGGCCTTCTCCGATCAGTACTCCCGAAGAACCTCCTCTACAGGGCTATCGCCAGCATTACTCTTTTGGCTCTACAAGTGGCGGTCGCTGGTTATGCATGGGCCTGCTCGGCCTACTGCGTTCGGGGCCCCAGAAGTCGGACGTGGTGATCTTCACTGATGATTCGGCTCCGAGTTCTAGCCTAAAGGGTCCGCCTATTGAGATGATAGGAGGAGTTATGTTCACACGCGACGACGCCCCCAGGCAGTTCCCGGCCAGTTTACAGATCGTAAGAACAGCCGCGATCTGATCTTTCCGTGGCTATTTTGGCGTCAGCTGATCGGCCTGGATGTTCAACCACGCTCTATCTCTACCTATCTCTATCTATCTCTATCTATCTCTATCTATCTCTATCTATCTCTATCTATCTTCATCTATCTCTATCTATTTATCTATCTATCTATCTATCTATCTATCTATCTAGCTATCTCTATCCATCTATCTCCATCTATCCCATCTATCTATCTCCATCTATCTGTCTCTATCTATCTCTATCTATCTCTATCTATCTCTATCTATCTCTATCTATCTCTATCTATCTCTATCTATCTCTATCTATCTATCTTGCTATCTGTCTATCTATCCATAAGAAAAACTGAATACATGACATGTTTGTGTGGCTTGCGCCTGGGCGCTGTTAGTTCCCCGATTCTGTGTGGAATAGTTGGGTGCGTTAGGTTGCAAGGTTGATTTCGGGTTCAGGCCCGAGGGCGAGGGATGATCACGCGCAGAATGGTTGGGGGAAGCACCCAACCATTCGACAGGGAAGCTCAAGGCCCAAACCGTTCCATGCCGAAGGTTTGTTGGTATGATCAAACGGGGGGATACCATTGTGGGGAGGAGGGGGGGAGGGTGTCCCTGGCGCAAGCCTATATATAATATATATATATATATATGATAAATATATGTATGCATGTAGGTATCTATGTATGTATGTTGCTGAATTTATGTACTGAACTGTTGTCGGAGAAGTGCGGCATGTTGGAGTTCAAGGTAACTCTGCTGATTAATCGTCGTCTTCTACGCTTGTGTTTTTTTTCTCTCCCTCTCTCTCTCTCTGTGTTTGTGTATGTGTATGTGTGCGGCGCGTGTATGCGCGATTCGTCCTCGTGCATGGGCTAAGCGGATGACTCCTTTCAGTTGTCGTTGGCAATTGAAATTTCGCACGGAAATATTTGTTGCCGCGTCACACCTTGCCGGGGGGCACCGTATTTCAGTATCTCCCCTCATCACTTTCGTGTACCAACATAACAGCTGGGCACTGGGCACGCGTTCCTGCAAGATTAGAAAAGCCTGGCAAGGGTACATAGACTTGCACGGTTGAAGCAACCTGACCAGCAACAGCACGTCGCAACTGTAACATCCAGTTTGCAAGTGTTTGCGACTGTGCATGGGTGATTCTCGCTTACTTGATTTTGCCAGGCACAGCCGTGTGCCAGGAAAGGAGTCGTTGCAGTCAGCAGCCTATCCTAGCCACTACATTGTCTGCGATGGGCAACCAAGGATGATCCAGCTTGCAAGCTCTCTGTCCAGCAAGGCAGTTTTGGAGTTGTCTGTCCAGAAGAGGGCACCACTTGTGAGCTTATGAAGGCTATTGTCATTGTGTCGAGCCAGCCTGACCGCCCATCGTCGACCTGCCATGCCCCCAAACCAATGGACGGATCTTTGAACGCCAGAGGATGCTGAAGACACTTGAGTCGCATCGTCGCAGGCAGATCCGCCTAGCCCGGTACCAAAAGCAGTCCCTCGCGCCTTTGCCGCACTTTGGATTGTTCCTTGTGATTAACTGTCTTATGGAGGCTTTAATGCCGCATTGGCAAAATACAATGGAAACAGAGGAATCCCACCGTGCTGAGACAGTCATTGGCCCTTGGCCTTAGTCAGCGAGTGCGGGAAAGGGGCACAACCTGCTAGCTTGGTTTCCTCAACCGACTGGTGGCTCTGAGGATTGATGCTGAACTCACTTTCTAGTAGAGGGTAGCTGTTTCGTGTAATGCCACTATTTTCATCTGCTTCCCGAAACGTCGCTGCTCCCACAAGAGTCGTTTCAAGTTATGAGGCGAGTCAAATATGCACCGCAGCGACTCGGTCAGCTCTTCATCGGCAACTTGCCTTCAATGTCAGACAGAGTCCATTCGGACCTGGCAGCTTTATGTGGAGAGGTTGGCATGTCCGGCTGTATGTGAGTGTCTGGACCGGGCACCACGACGTAGCCACAGTTTGTATTGACAACGCCGCAGTTCTCATGATGCCAGTTGTCCGTGTTGTGCTTCCCTGGAGCATGGCCCCGGAGGTCCCAATGTCCCAGATGTACAGGCCGAGCGTGGATGGTCAAGGTGGGGCTGGGCTTCATGAGGCCATGAGGCATCCGAAGGGGCGGTGTGACGGCGCGAGAGGGCCAGCAGGTTAAAGGCTGATTTTCCATTGCGTTGTCAACACAGAGCTACGGCACTTGAAGCCGGGGAGGCGCCGCCCGACGCTGATGCGTCCAGCTCAGTACAGCGGTGTTGTGCACAGCGCTGAGCCATGCAGGGATCTATTTTGACTCGCTGTTTCGCCTTACACATCCCTGCGTCACATGAGAACTGTGTGTTAGGCCGCCAGTAGAGGCTAAGGACACGTAGATTGGAAAATGTGTGGTCGTACTGCAAGGCAGAATCGTCAAGGCTCATGTGGCTGGATCTTGATTCGAGGGCTTTAGCTTCCAAGCACGGCAAGTTGCTGCCAAGACTTGATGTGTCTGCATGGTCTTGTATTGAGAGCCAGCAACGACCGACAAGCAGCAGCGTTGCTGCCAGGCTTAGCACTTCACACGGCTTGGGGCTAGAGTTCTTAATCCTTCCCCTTCGAGCTTGTGTAAGTTTTTCCGAGCATGTTCCTGCGCGAAACTACAACCTGTTGCTTCGTTCTTCAGCATGCGAGCACCAGAAACTCAGCGAACATGCAATAATCTCGAGGGTGGTGGTGCTTGGATACTTGTTTTGACCTTGTTTTGCTGCAGGTCTGACCTCGTTCTGGAAAGCCTCTTGGCCACGTCGCTATTCCTGGCACAAGCTCCTTCCATCTAGCCAAACCAGGCGAAACAATCCTGCCATACAGCGATGTTTGGAAGGCCTTTTCTTCCTACAGCCACACGCATGCCTGGCGTGCCTCGCAATCTTAGTTTCTCTCGACAACGTCTAGCTGAGTCTAGCTGTCGAGCAGATTGGTTTCACGACCTCTGGGTTGCCTAGGGCATCCGTGGTCATTTTTATTCATGCCTTCCTCGCGAACGAATGAGAACTTGAACTCCCAATCTACCTCCACCCGGAAACATGCTTCTGAGGCCAGGCTGTTGGCAAATATGTGCTGAGTGTAAGTACAAGGCCAACATATAAGAATGTAAACTGTAGAAGCTTGCTTAAAGCATGACACGCGTCCATGCGACAGTCATCACTATCGGGGTGCTTATTGATCGTTTTCTCTCGGGGACATGTTTGGCGTCCTCTCGTGGTTGAGAAAAAAGCGAAGATGGTGCGCAGACTTAAGCTGTGAAGACTTAAGGATGTATCGGTGCCTTGTCAAACGCATCTTTCCCCGCGGTGCCCGGCTGCACCAGCTTCATCTGCAGAAGGAGAGAACAGTAGCGAGCATACGCACTTGGTAGTTACATCTCTGGAGTTTTTTTGGCAAGACAAACAGAAAGAAGCAGACTGTGGAAAGTTAAACCGGATGCCTGGCTCCATGCTGCGACAGGAAGGTATCACAATCCAAAGAGCCTGCAACCCTAAATTCGTTGAGCACTACTCAGCCCCACTTCGATTTTGTGCGATGTCCCTTCCAAAAACGATTCGCAAGCCATGGGCAGAAAAAATAAGCGTGTGGGCTTTATGGTACTCGAGCAGAGAGGCAGCCCGAAGCAGCAAGGTCTAGGCTTAGGGATTCAGGCCAAGTTGCCGCCATAGCTCGAAGCTTGCACAGCCATGAAGTCATTGCAACTGGTGATGATGCCTTGCGTGCTGCTTCTGCAGCGTAGCGTGGGCGACGAGGATGTGTTGCTCGACTGACTTCAGCATCTTTCTTCATTCTGTTCGGGCTAGACACGGCCAGAGCCAGGACGTTTTGCTTCTTTGATTGTGTCGGACGTTCATGTTCTGACATGGTGCTGTCTTCACTGTCCTGGGAAAAGCACTGCTGTGATCTTCGGTCGTAGTGAAGATGGACATCAGATGAACTGAGGTTCCCTGTTCACCTCATGCTTCAGGCGGCTGTCGGGCAGGAGGCAGACCGTGTACAGGCCTCTTGCGTTCCTGATGCCGCTGCGGCCAGATGGCGAGAAGGCCTGACAAGATTCTGGTGCAACACTGAACTGCAGCTCGCAGTCTGAGGGCTTCCATGCTTGTCTCCGTTCACGGTACACTAAACTGACCCCCAGTATCCAGTATGACTATGAAGTTGCAGACCTGGCTGGATCTTGGCTGACCTGTCCTCCAAAAGCCCGAAAAGCAAGTGTTGTGAAGGCTTCACGGCAGCCGTAGAGACGACACTTGGCTCGCGACTTCAGCTTTCGTACCACCCTTCACTGCTCGGTAGGTGCTCGTTGGAGCCTGAATGCCCACACACAGTGGTAGGATGATGCAGAAGACGAAGCGCACGATGCAACTGGGGTTGGCCTCCTTGGCCCGAGGAGTCTTGATGCTTCTAGCCTCTTGGCGGCAGATGCAGGGGGTTTGCAGATACCGTTCACTGCACCCCAAACCCCGCGCAAGCAAGCAAGCAGCAAACCTACCGCTGACAAAATGAAATTTACAAACGGTTGTTTCTTACTGTATCCCAAACCCTAGATACCATTCTTTGTTTTGCTTTTTAATAGACCATTTGCTTAGGGTTGGAGGCTGCGTAATTTCTATTCATGTTATTAATATAGGTCCTAGATCAGCCTATTGGTGTGGTTGAGTTTCTATTGGGGGTGTTGCGGTTCTTGTGTAAGGGTCAGGGCTTGGGTGAATGATATGTCCTGCGACAGCTAAAAAACCTTCTCTGGTTTGATTTCGCCTGCGTCTGGGTTTGGGTCCATGATATGTCCTGCGGCGAGGGGTCGCCTTGAGAAAAATGAAATGGCCATCGCTGTCTCAATCAATGCTTGAGTAGGACGTCTCCAACTGCAGCCAGGAATCCACCAGCTGCGGGGACCTGGTGACGTTCCAACAGCTCAAGGGGCAGGCAAAGAGGCGTGCTGCCAGCTGGGAAGCAACATGGAAAGTCTCTCCTCTCGTATGGGTTGTTCTGCATCTTGTGCACCGCCAGATGCTGCCCCACCCTGCCATTCCGTGCCCCTCGATAGTGGTGTGGTGCGGCAACTCCCCTGCAGGCTCGAGGTTCTTGCCAGCACCCGTAGCCTCGCGGGGCTGGATGCATCGGCAACTGGACCACTCTTTGGGCTCATATGTATAGGGACATCTTCGTGTATACTGTTTGAATGGATGGACGGCGGATGGATGGACGGATGGACGGATGGACGGATGCATGGATGCATGGATGCATGGACGGGAGGGTGGATGATGTCACGACCGAGTGGGTGAGAGACACGACAGAACCTCCTCTCAGATTCCGATCGGCCGGGAGTCGGAATCCGAATTGTTTCTGTAAGGGATTTCATGCTTTAGTTCCCCCTCTGTACCTCGGCAATTCCACAGCCGAGAGGAGGCTATCGGCGATAATTAATCTGTACATGCGCGTGTCATTTCAAACTTTCTGTTCTCCGGGTGCTTTAACCTTAGAAGTCGGGAGTGTTTTTGTTCTGTTGTGCTGCTTGCTTCGGTAACAACTGCAGCGTTTCGCGCACTTACTGCTAGAAGCCTCGAATCCGACTCGAATCCTGTTCGTTTTCAAGCAGGCTTTTCCTGCACAATTCAGCACCTGCCAAGGCGTAGGAGGCGAGCCCATTTTATTCGTCTCCGTCCTTCTCGTTGGACGACATCAGCGCCAAGCCTCCGTCGGGTGCTATTTCGAGAACTATCCCAACGGCGACCAGCCCTTTGTCACCCTTCATGCTGTCGAGAAGAAAACAAGCGATCGATTTACGTTTTTGTCCTCCCCTCCCCTCCTCTCGCCTCCTCTCCCCTGCCCTCCCCTCCCCTCCCCTCCCCTCCCATAAACCCAACTTGGCAGTGCCCGCTGTTCATCATGAGCAGGTTGAGAAAAGCAAGCGAGCTTTGCAGAGCGCAGTGTGGAATGTCGCATTTGAGCAGACTGCTCGAGCCCCCGCAGCGAGCGAAGGTGAAGTACGAGCCTTTGAAAGCTCTTACGGTCGGTGGGGTTGATGCGCCCTGGCTGCTTCTTGTAGGGCTGTGCTATTTCTATCCCAGTTGCGGGAAGGTTTGGTTAGCTGGGCCCAGTTTTTAGAGGAGTGTTGAGCCCAGTTTTCTGACATGACCCCTTGCAATCCAAGACGCCGCCCCAACACCCATCAATTTCCGCCGAACGAAATCACCAGCCAAACTCTAAGGTTCACCTTGAGCTCAATGCCCTCCTCGTGGCCTGGCAAATGAACCGTGGCCCCAAAGAGGTCGGCTCTACCTTGGCCAAGCGTCTCGGACCTCATCCCTTGCCTGCCACCGACTAAAGCATCGCTGGCCTGAGCGTTCTGCATTCGGTTTTGTTCGTTTGCTTCACGTTGCCTTTGCCACAGCTCGTCGCTTCGGATGCTTGTTGCAGAGTTTTTTCGCTGATGGGCTGCGCAAGCCATGCAACGGTTGGTTTGAGACTCCGAGCAACTCTTGGCTTTGCGCGAAGTTTCACTCTGGCTTGCTGCTTTGCCACAGACTCCAAAATCACAAGACATATCAGTTTTTCATACCAAGATCAGTTTTCCTATCAGTTTTCCTACTGGATGTTTTGAACCCGAAAAGCTTTTTCCTGCAGGAGCTTTCGGGTCCTCAGGGTTGCGCTACGGTGATGGGTTTCAGACATCTTCAGACGGTGATATCTTGCTTTAGATTGCCAGACTTCTGTGGCATCTTCGGGAAGTGTTTCTTGGACCCTCAGCCACAAGGCGCGGCGCCTCAAGGAGATGTTGGTAGAGAAACAGAACGAGACGATCGCAATGGATTCACATGCTGTGCTCGTCGTAAGTGTCCACGAGTTACTTTTCTGCGCTGCCGTGCCTCACGACAGCACGAGAATCGAGGCAACCCCGAAATGTGAGTTCAGAAGAGGCCTCACCCCATCCCAAAGATCAGAGACCCAGTTGAACATCAGGTTTCTAGCTGACTTCTCCGAAGACGATGCAGTGCAAGCCGGGGAGGTGCCCGAGGTGCCTGAGGAGCTCTGCTGCGTGCAAGAGCGACCAAGCCTCCATTAGCGTGCCACATGCCTACGGCATAGCAAAAGTATAGAAAGCTCACAAACACCGTGCTGACAGCTGCTTGCCATGTCACAAGATCCCTAGTATCTCATAATGTCGCAAGAGACCTTTGATCAGGAGCCGGTGGCAGCGGTACAGCACCGACCTGGGTCACTGCAACGCAAGGGCCAATTCTGGACCACAATGCTGAATCAGGCACCCGGCAAACGTGGCCACTGTTTTTCGGAGGATCGCAGGATTCATTGGAAGAGCTTTCTGGGACAACACAAACTTAAGCAGTGCAATCTGACGGCCCGGAATGAGTCCAATCTGCTGCATGTTTTCCAGCATGTTCTTGATCTCCCCGCATGTCAGCACCACGTGCTGCACACTGCAGGCTCTGTCGAGGCTGTCTGTGGCTGGAGATCGCCCTATTGCGGCTCAGTGCTTTGAAGTTCAAACCAAAGTCCGATGTAAGCCTGCCTTGGCAACCGGGTGCCTTTCGCAACTTCACATCGACCAAAGGTGGATGCTTGCATTTCCGACGATTTGGCGGGCTTCCATGCCGACAGGTTTGATGAGGCGTTTCTCGGCTTGTTCAAGACATGCAGAGGCCGATGTCTTTGTGATTGTTTGATAGCTCAATGGAGACTGCCACACCTCCTCGTGTGTGGCAATCCTATAATGTTCCGAAAAAACAAGATGACATGGCGCAACTTGCAACGTGTAATGGTGGATTGTCAGCTTATCGGAAACTCACGCACATGCTGCAGCGAGACTGCCACGGGTCGTTGTGGCTTAGCCACAAGCAGCTTCACGATTTCTCACCTTTTTGAGCTGTATGTGTCTTCCACCCTAGCGTAAGGTTTGGACGGATGATGCAAAAGACGCAGAGAAGTATGCAAGCTGGATTGCGGCTCTTGGCCACGACAGTACAGGCGTGTGCCTGAGCAACCGCGTTGATTTGTCGACACTTTGAGGTTGAGGTGCTACCAAGTACTGCGAGAAGCCTGTAGAAGGACCGGCAAGCACACGGATTCTGAAAGTGATGGCGAGCCTGCACAGAGTTCCTGCTGTTTCGGTTCTCCTGCAATTCTTGGCCCCGAGCCTGGTGCTCAATCTAACAAATCGAGGCTCTGCTGGCAACTTTGGAGGAGACTGGAAGGGATGGTTGCCGAGATACTTGCAAATGTTACAGACCATTCCCTAATTCTGAAGATGTTTGTCCGAGTATGCGTGTCAAAATTCTGAAGATGTAGCAAGTTCGGCAAGGACATCTTTGTCAGCACACGGATCCCCAAAAAGTGACTCGGAAGGAGGGCGGCCATTGTCCGCAGCTGCACTCTTCGCAAGGCCATGCGTTCCTCCAGAGTGCTTGCTGATAGGAGCGTAAGCAGGCCGGCACAGCTCAGCCCCCGCAGATGAAATACCGGCTCCTTTGGTGGGGTGGTTAGGGTAGAGCTGTCATCAGAGGTGTGGACCGGCTGCGCCTGTCTGCGAATCGCCTGGAGACGCTGGTTGGAACCCGGTGACTCAGCCTTGGGTTGCGATGGTTGAGCCCGTAGGCGCGTCCGCTGTTAGGGGTGTAGCCGAGCTTGAAGTCCCAGGTCACTCATCAACCCGGGGGTCAAAGTCAAGTACGAAGCGATGCAGATGCTGACTGTCGGCGGCCTCGACGTTCACCTAGAGCTCCATGGCCTGGATTTGTTGGATCAGTCATCCAGGTTGGTGTCTGAGCCCGCCAAGCCTGAACCGGTGCAAACGTGTTTGCAGTGGTCGAAGACAGGTTGAACAAGCTGATTGGAGCTTGGATATCTGACAACAGGCCATTGGACCACGGCTTTGGCCGCTGTATAGAGACGATCGCAGAACGCTTCAAGGGCTCAGCCGGGAATTTTGTCTGTTGCAACCAGCAGCGAATTGCGAGCTCCCTGGACTGAAGAAAACCTATTGTGGCACACGCAAGAGTCTGCTGTTGTGGTTTAATTCTCGCGTGCTCTCTCTCCCTATCTCTCTCTCGCTCTCTCTTTCTCTCTCTCGCTGTGGCTTTCTTCCTCGCTCTTTCGCTCTCTCTCTCTCTCTCGCCCTCTCTTCCCTCTCTTCCCTCTCT